TGAACATGAATAACACCCCTCTTCAAATTTTTTAATACCTTCCACTGCTTTTTCCTTCTTTCCTCCTGAGCGTTTGCTTTCAAAGTACATCTGAATAGTATCAGTATCAATGTCATCATCGAAAGTGACTTCAATCAAATCAGGATAATAATCTAATCCCAAGGCATCAGGAGTTGCAGTGCTGGTAGAAACACTGGCTGGATCAGGTGGATCTGTAAGCTTGATTTCAATCTGCTGCTTTCTAATTTTGTGCTTACGTTTTAGAAATTCTTTAATACCTAAAATATATTAGGATATGAATTAATAGAGCATTATTTAATTACAGTAAAATAAATACAAGTTTATCAGTAGTTTCACGATAATTTCCCATTTTTAACGTGATGGTTACACACAATTTATACAAGTAATAATTAAGCTATGTTTATAATACACATTACGTAACTTCAAAAATTAACTACACAGCAATGACAGCATGCCCACCATACTTACAATTAATCTGTTTAAAAATGCATAGTCTTGGGCCCGCCCCTTAGTGAAAGGGCAGGACTGAGACTAAAAGTACAATAATGCATTTCAGAATAAGAAAGACCATTCACCATGCGTGGCCTCACTACAATAGCTGTTTGATTATCAACATTAAAATGAAGAGAGTCTGCTGCAGCATATAGCTTCTTGCAGTTGCACTTGCTCTTAATACCTGGCATTACCTGCAGAAGTAGCAGCACATACATGAAAGTTGATCCAGCTCCTCCCAGCTTGAAAGGTGAGGCGTTACATCATCAACTGCAATGATGGCAGCAAGAAGGCCATGTGAGAAAGAAGCTTAACTTTTTTTACTAATCAGCAATATACATGTATGATAAACTTGCTGACAGAATACCTAGTGCTTATATTTGAGCAACACAAAAACAGTTAAGAAAGACTTTTCCTGGTTAAAAAGAAAGATCTAGGAGCTTGGAACATGCTGTGCTAAAGTTATACCATATAGCGAGTTATTTTCGAAGATAACAAATTTCGTGAATTTTGCGGATTTTTCAAGATTCATGAAATTAAATTCCTTAAAAATCAAATTAATACAGTACAAGATGGCAGAATAGTGCAAATTTGCAAAAATTAATTCCAAAAACTTCCAGATACGGGTCATTCACAAAATTTATTATCCTCAAAATAAACCCACCATACAGTAGTTCATTAAAGATAAAAATCAGTTGTACAGAATAAATGAATGATGGACAGCTAGACACAACAACTACTTATACTTCGCGTAGGTGAGGCCAATAATGCATAATAGACCACCCTAGGCAAGAATTGAATGCGTAGGAAGATTATTAGAAATTTTTATGGTTGTAAGGCATGGTTTAGGATGAAATTAATTCCGGCCGCCAATTTGGTAGGCAACTTTCAATGGAGAACAAACGGGCTGACATAGAAACAAACCTGTATTAAGAATTCTGTAACAAATTTGACCAAATCCTTGACAGGAGAAGCTTAGAGACAGCTGTTCTTTCTTATAACAAGCGCTTTTTAGCTATTGATAGAGCTACAGCAGGTAAGTGAGGCATTTTCTTCGTGCCTCCATTGACTTCCATGATAAACTTACCAACCAAAATGACAGCCAATTATGATGTGTGGGCGCATACCATATATAAAATTAATGAAATTCATAACTTTTCCAATTTACGCCTAGGGTGGTCTATAGCATCCAATGATTTTATCTTAAAACCACTAATAGCACTTTTAAACACTCAAAATTTGAACGAATACAATAGGTGTGGGGCTCACTCATGCTCATCTTAATAGCATAAAGTACAAGTATAATGGAAAATTTTGGCAGGAATAACAATAGGGAGCAGCCTAGCAGGATCTATTTGGCAAGAATAATATTTGGCAGCAAAATTTTATTTGAATAAAGTATGCTTCTATTTACTTTCATTATCATCAGCAACTTCAGCACGAGCAGTTCCATTTCCAAGTAATACAACATCATTGACTTTATCAAGTGAATTAGACAAGTACAGCTCTACACCATCAGCTGTAATGGTATCTGGTAATCCTAACAACAACAGGTAGTGGGCTGACTCTGCTGGTGGCTCTATGTGTAAATAAAAAAACTAATAAAAACTTTAATAAAATTCTCACTAGCGATGGGTTTTGATTCAATACCGAGTACTTAAGTTAAGATTTGTGGTACCAACAATTAAGTATATGGAGCATCAGTAACATTTAAACTTTAAAAAGCACCTGGCGGTTATTTTTACAGTTTAATAATGGCTAGTTGATTAATGGCTATTAATATTTAGTGGAGTGGTGATTGATTAGATTAAAATTAAACCACGTTTAAGTCGTTGCTGTTTTGGCTAAAGACCAATTAATGGCCATAACCTTTGGTCATTGGCCTCATTTTTGAGCAACTTTAAAAATTCGTAACAAATCCAAATTTGATCGGAATCAGCTCTATGTCAATACAAAATACACACAACATAAGGGCATGTACATGTATATGTATCAAAAAATTATAAAATCGGAGAAATCTCTCCTAGCCATTCCTGACAAAATTTGCCCAAAAGCCAAAGGCTATAGCCTTGGTTGTGGATCTGATTTTTGAGCAACTTAAAAAACACAAAAATCTAAATTTGATCGAAATCAGCTAAAAGCTGATGCAAAATTTAATGACATGTATACAAATCAAAAAATAATTATAAAAACGGAGGATTATCTCCTACTCCTTTTTGACAAAATTTGGACAAAGACCAAAGACTGTAGCCTTTGGTTAGTGGCCTAATTTTTGAGCAACTTTGTTTGTGAAAATACAAATTAGATTGGAGTCAAGTCAGTCAACCCAAAGTTGATACAAAACATAAGGACATTTATATGTATCAAAAAATTTTTAAATAAAGAACAGTAAGAACTAAAGCATTCAAATTTATTTTGGAATTTATACCACCCATCACTAGGTCTCATTACCTTAAGCCTACTATTTTTAGCGTCTACTAAATTTAGCGATATTAGCGAGAGAGCTTAAAATCCCTAAATTAAATAGACGCCAAAATAATTATTATTCATTATAATGGTTATTATTTATAGTTAATTTGGTAAAATTAGTAACGCTAAACATGACTTTGGATGATTTCGCTAAAATTAGTAGACGCAAATAATAGTAGGCTTAAGGTATGTAAAAGTAACTGTCTCACCATATGTACCGCTAGCCATTGTGCATTAACAGTGATATGTATCACGCCTCCAAGGCCTCCCCTTTGCAGTGATGAGCTCATACAAACAACTCCGGGTCCGTAACGAGGCACACAAGTGTACAAGACTCTAAGTTGACTGCCCAAAAATCTAAGACTCCAGTAGGTACGCTGGTCAAATAGTCAAGTGTTCTTCAAACTACCAAATGGGACAAAAATAGACTATGTTTATATCTATTTATTAATCTATCACTTACAAGTTCAGTGAATAAATGTTTGTCTCGGTTCCCGAGATAAAGTCTTGGTGTTGTTAGTAGTTATTTAATATTTTAGTTACTAAGACAGGCACTGATCTGGCCACTAATGTCCTTTATCCTCACCGGCACGACTAGTAGTCTCCACGAGCATTAATTAGAAATTCTCCCAAAAATCCAAATTTTTGAAAAAAATACAAAAATTGCAAAAGGATTCCTTAATTTTTTTAGATTGCAAGTATAATTATGTGTATCAAAAAAATTAATGGAAATTGTCTCATAGTGGTTATGTATTTATTTGAAAAAATTGTAAAATGAGAAATTGTCTCATAATGATTTATGAAAAAAACACTCAATATAGATCTATAGTACTGTATCCGTATATGAATATCAATATCATGGTAATTTGGTCAAATTTTGGAGCAACTATAAAATCCATTCGTTCCACTGACAACTTGCATGCCAAAATCCTGTGGGACTCAAAACTCAAAATTTGCAATCAGTAATGTTCATGATTATGAGGGACTAAATTATTATAGTTACTCGTGAGGTAGCATCACTATCTACAACAGTTTGCCGCTGCAGCGTACTGGCCTGTACACCACTTCAATGTAATAATTGCTCATTGTTACTCTCCGCTTTCTCTTTGCTCTTTTTTTCTACCTTTCTTACAGCTATATCAAAAGGGCAGGCTGTTTAGGAAACAGTTTAGATCATAACTTCTAAGAGAAAAGATAGAATAGAGAAAATAAATTATTTTCAAAAAAGGCATAAAACAACGAAAGCTATAGTAGATCTAGATCTAATAATCAATACAAAAGCAGAAATAATAATAAATGTAACAGAAAATAAAGCTACAGGCCTAAACTAATGCACAGTCTAAGTTTGTAAATTCATTGATAGTTAACCATGTATGCTGGATAATTTTGAGCATCTTGGTAAACTACAAAAATTGATGGATTGCCAACATTATCAACAGTAGCATCAAAAGTAACATTAGGATCAAGTTGAGGATTCTTTGGAGGAGGAGCTAACATTGTACCATCACCACGAGTGAATTCACCAGTAAGAACAAGAGTATAGTACATGTTACGAACACCATTAGCATCAGGTGATGTGTATCTGTGAGAGTATGATGCATCACGAGCAAAATACACTCCTTTACCATAATATGTAGCTATAATGATAATTATTATTATTTAAAATCACAATAAATATTTACTTTACCATTTTTCCCTGCAAAGTTACGATCAAAACCACGTGTGTTAATCTTATCCAGTGTATCAGGACTGGTACCATGCCAGAGCAGTCGTTCATTTTGATGGCCCTTAGGATTGTGTTTTTCCATTTCTTTCTTCCTAACTGCATACTGCTTGTACAAGGCTGGGTTCTGTAGCCTTTGGATGCTAAGAATCTTAGTATAACTTCCAGTCATCGTTTCATTGAAAGCTGTCTCAGCATTTCTGTATTCAGGACTAGTAGCTTGCAGTGTAACAAAATGAAATCGTTTTTCTTTTCCTTGAGAGTCAAGAGGCATTGGGTCCCAATCATCAGGTTGCTCTAAAATGAATAGATAAAATTATTAATTATAATAAATCTCGCATACCTTGCGATTTTGTGAGATCTAAACGCTTTACAATTGCAGTTTTATCAGTTACTTTATCTGTTTCCTTCATTTTCCCAAAATTTATAATAAAATTTTCATCTGTGGCATCAAAAAAACTTTTTTTGTTTTGAAACGCTTGCTCAATTTCAAAATTTAGCAATTCACCATACTCTTCTTCCTCTTCATCATCTGGATTAATCCTTACCCAACAGACAGTTTTAGAAACTAAGGCAGCAGCAGCTTTATTCGATCGCTCTTGAGTTATAGAAGACATTGCATCACGAATTTTATCTTTAACAAGCATAACATCTTGAAATAATCCCTCAAGATGGACTGAATGAAGGATGGGATCTCGATCAATTTCAATATCAACATTTTGATCACTAGCAAATGACTTGAGCTCATGCACAACTTCATCAGAGAAAGCAGCAATACTAGGATTATCAATATCTTCAGTATGAGATGTTGTATCAATTGTGGACTGTAATTTTTTTTCCGCTCGTCCAACTGATGAATCTGTCTCACCGTAAATATGAAGTGTCACTTCTGAATCCAAAGAGAGATTGGCAAGCATTAATCTAACAACTTCATCTTCCCCAAGATCTTCAAATTCTTCATCTTCGATATTAGGATTTTTAATTGGTTCTGCTTCCATTTTATCAGCATCTTCATCATCACTGCTATCATTACTAGCGACAAAAAAGGATTTAACTGCAGCTTTCATACCATTATATATGTAACTCATTAAGCCACCACTGGAATCTCCAATTTTATTGAAAGCACCAACAAAATCTTTATAAACTTGAGCTTGAAATACAACCATTCGTATAACTTGGACATGTTTTGGCTTAGAAGAAATGAACTTTTGCAATGCATCAACAATTGCTTTGGCAGCATCGGTAGCTGGATAATTGAAAGTTCCGGTGCCAATTGCTGGAAAGGATATTGAAGAAAACCTTTTTCTTTCTGCTAGCTCTAAGCATGCAAAAACAGTTTTATTTAAATTCCTTCCACCATGAAAAGCAATATGAAACACTTCTTTACACTTCAGACTACCAGTAGCTTTAGTAAAAACAACCTTACCCTCTTTTGCTGTTTTACCTTTAGCAACGGCACTATCACAGGCATGTTGTAATGCCTGACCACCTTTCTTTAGTAATGCACCTGACACACCACCACCAACTAGTTTTAAATTTTCTTGAGTTGTATTGACAATAGCATCAGAATCATCATCTGATATGTCACCTTGCAGCAACTCCAGGCTAAGACCATGAGGAAGAGGGAAAGAGCAAGTTGATTGACTAGAAGCTCGTACTTTTATCTGTGAACCAAAAGATGATGTACCATTGTGATGCGAAGGGGGTGTGACAGATTTAGGAACATTGGTACTGGTGGAAGAGTTCAAATTTTCATAAACTATTTGAAACGCATTATAAATCTTCTGATCAAATATGACAAAGTGAACCAACTGAAGAGATGTTTTCCCCTGATTCTTTTGAAAGAATGATGCTGTTTCTTCCATTAATACTCTAGCCACAACATCAGTTGGATACCTCAGATTACCAGCTCCAATAGAAGGCATTGACAAACTCTTGAGTTTAAGACGAGTACATTCTTCTAGACACTTGTTTACAACTTGTTTTAATACCTATTGAATAAAAACACCATGCATGACTATCTACACAATTATTTGTATAATTTACCATTTCAGCATTTCCACTAGGTCCATCATATCCAGGCAATACAACATGAAGAACATGTTTTGATTTCAGGTTGTGTCCACCAGTAACAGTTACACTACCAACACCAACTGGCTTAAACTCAGAACATTCCTGCTCCAGACCAGAACCAGCTTTTTTCAATATTTCCTTAGCCACGAACCCTCCAAACCCAAGATCAGTGTCTGTAGTATTCACAATCGCTTCTTCCTACATAAATTGATAGCATATTAAAAATTAAAAATAACACTGACCTGATATTGTATAATACTTCCATTGGTTATTTTAACTGGAGGTACAAATCCTGTTGGAGTAGACCAAGAAGCTTTGGTTGATGTTGTAGTTGAAGCAGTCGATGTGGTTGGTGTAGTTGATCCTCTAATTTTACGACGTTTTTCATTGTCTGCACTACTGTTGCCTAGAGGAGTCGATGCAGTTTGAATTGAAGGAACTGCAGCTGATGAGGAAGACAATGAAGTTTGAGACTGGAAACCTTTTAATTCTCTCTCAGCTGCTTTTAAAAACTCGTTGACATTATCTTCAAAAATAACTATATTGATATCATTAAGCTGTGAGCCATGGTCAGCAGCACTAAACTCAACAATAGCTTTTAGAATAGTATCTGCACACACATCAACTGGGAAACCAAACATACCACTGCTTATTGCTGGGATAGCTATTGAGGCATAGCTTGTGGATTTCTCAAGACTTTGGCGCACAGCCTTCTTTAATAATGCTGTCTCTCTTGCATTGTCTCCAAATCTATTCCATATTGGGCCCACTGCATGAACTATTGCTTTATAAGGTAGGTTACCAGCTCTTAGAAAAAGAACAGCTTTTCCATCAGAAAGACTTCCATTCTTATCAATATGCCTTCTTGAATCTTCTTCGATTGCTGGACCGCTCTTTTTTTACAATAGCAGCAGCTATGCCAGTGCCATGAACTAGTTGGCCATTAGCAGCATTAACAATAACATCAGCTCTATCAAACTCTGTGATATCACCAACTATCACATTAACCCTCTTCATCTCGGCAGTACTTCCAAAACCAATATTCTTAAAACTTTGACCAGCTGTCATGGAAGGCTCATGATCCCCACAATTTTTATTACTAATTTCAACTTCTATACAAACATGAGCTTCAGATTCTATACCTTTCAGCATGGTTTGACCTTGAGGATTACTCAAAAAATATTTACCCATTCCTGGACGAGAGATTGTTACCTGTCGCTCTTTCACAGCAGCTTGGAACTCCAAAATTTCTTCTTTTGCAAACTCCAAATTATGCACTTCTCCTTTAATCTTAATGAATGGTTTGTGGGCTGTTGGTTTTGAAGAAGACACAATTGTAACACCTTTCTTTTTCATATCTTCAACAAGATCGGTCCACTTCTTCTCCATTGATGTTGAATACACCAGGCGCCAAACTCCCTTTTTAAAATGAATTACATCAGTGACAGAGCAAGCTTCAGTAACAAATGTATAAAATTCTCTACTAACGTCAGCTATACTGCTACGAGTACTGACTAATGTAAGTTTGTTTTGATGAACAGTGGCAGAAAAGGAATATTTTTTAGCAAGGCTAGTTTGAAATGATGCAAACTTTGAATCGGATACTTGTCTTGAAAATGATTGAGGTAAATCAACAGACTGGACTACTATTTCTTGCTGAATGGTTGTTGCTACATGCTCAGCTCTATCAATATGGCTATTTGAGCAGAGTAAAAGGAAGAAGAGCTGATTATTTGCATTATTAGCAAAATAAGGAATGACCTCAGGATGACCATTGAGCATGGTATTAAGCTTTTGTCTTCCTGGTTGGTCAT